CCCCAAAACCCCAAAACCCCAAAACCCCAAAACCCCTATTTCATTTAATAAAATTGATTAATAATATAAAAATATGCAGTCAGAATCAAAATTCGAAAAACTCATTAAAGCCAAAAAAGAAAGAATAAACCAGCAAGAAAACGAAGTACGCCGCAATCCTCACTACTAGATCATCACTCGCATAAGAGACAACGTAGCTAAGGCAGAAGAATACACTCGGTAAGCCTACCCTCATAACCCAAAGCCTCAACAACAAAATCAAGACCCTACAAGACGAGGTAGGCTCACCTCTCACAGTATAGATAAAGTACCACAACCACGAAGCCTACAATGACGAAGAAAGCATGGACGGGGAAGAGTCCTCAGAAGAAGAATCTGTAAGCTCCAGTGGTCTACGGAAACAAACAAATATCGAAACCGAACCCAAGGAGATAAGTAAGCTTAAAGACTGATGCCATAGTGACGAATAAGAAGATAACAGACCTTGATATTGATAAATGGTTTGGCAAGGACATCAAGTGCAAACTTGAAGATATCCTGTCCAAAAGAATCCATGTTTTCAGTAAAGAAAGAGTTAAGTTAATTTAATATAAACAACGACCAAAAAGAATTAGTCCGTCCTTATGTCAACTGAGTTACAGTGAAGCTTTATAAGGACAAAACTTTCTCAGAAAAGTCCTTGATGTCGCAGAATTTCTTGATAAAATAAATCTAAGTTTGAAATGTACCAGCAAGACTTTAGGATTAACTCAGATACTACTTTTGACCAGCTTAAGCAAGGAGCATGAGAGTTCTGGGGAGAACATGATCCAAGCCAGCTTACCTTTTATGATGATAAGCTAAACATTATTCTTGTTGACAAAATTGAGGGGGTCAGTTCGATCTTTGGTGCCTCTATTCAAGAGATGAGTGTGAATTGCTTTTTTGAAACATTTATGGCTACCAAAGCAGTTTTGGTATTGATGAAGCCAGTCCTTCACCAACACATTTTGATTAGAGAGCAAATGACAAGCATTCAGATTAGAAAAGAAGCAAATGCTCTTGCTTATTACAGTAAATTGACTCCACTATTACTTTTAGATTTAAATAATTTCCAAGAAAATGAACAGGATGAAGAGGCATATCTCATAAACAAACTTGAAGAAACGAAAGGAGACTTATTCCAAATGCTGTAAGCATTCCAGTTATACATATAGAGGGAGAAAGAGACGAGGCCTGAGAGGAACTACAGGGATTGGAAGTAGATCCTTTATTACTCTCTGTGTATACCTCATCCTTTTATTATTCACAGCATTAATCCTGTTTCTTCGAGAAGATACAAATAAGTCTTATTATATTTCAAGAATGGCTTATTTAACTTTTGACGATGAATTCAACGCTGTTACGAACGATGAGCAGCTCTATTCTTTCATTCGAAACAAAATAGGCGAAGATCTATTGGAACAAGAAATATCTGGAACCGTAACTCTTCCACAATTGAGGGTCCTATCCTACATGGTCGGTCCTATCAGAGTCATGCAAATGAGATCAAATAGCAAGAAGTGCAAATAAAGTAGTGAGAGATGACATCAACAGTTGATATTATGACAGCTATGATGATCACACAAAGGAAACTGAGGATATCTGAACTGGCTATAGTTGGTGAAAGTTCACAAGCGAGAAAAAGTCAGGTACCTCATTCTTCCAAATTTAGATTATTCAAATCTTATTTTTGTTTTAACAAAGCTTATATCGGATCTTATACATTACAGGGAGTTTATAGTCATCGATAATTTATAAGCACGCTTCACATTTCTTGTTATTCTTTCTAAACAAGCAGTTTCTACCTACATTCAAAAATGATATTTCTGAAATATTTAAAGCTATATTTTGTTCATATTAAGACTTTTGGTTTTATAGGAATCAATAGGCAAATCTGGGGGAAATACAGGTAAGACTTTGACTATGACATTTAGAACTTATTCAGGAGATGGATACATTTTCGATTTTGATCCTGATCAAAACTACACAGTCTGGAAAGAACAGATAGATCTGATGATAAACCAAGGATCTATTTCTGGGAATCAGAAATATCTAGATAGGCCAACTCTCGCAATATTGATATCATTTAATTTCTATAATCCTTCAAATGATGAATGGATTGCTTGTGAGATATTGTTTGAATACGTATCAAGCTTACTCAGTCCTTCCTATATCATTTCAAGGAACTTTGATGCTAATATAATAGAAAGCTCCAGCGAGAAAGGACTATGGACTACAGAATTTTTCAGACTTTTCCTCTCATTCTACGTTTCTGTTTGTTGTATTTTTATCAGAAACCAGTTTTGGAAACTTAACAGTTTTAAGAAATTTGCTCATCTGAAGGATTTGTTCAAAATAGTGGTTGATATTCTAATAGTGCTCTGATGCTTTTCAACCTTCATCATGCTAATAGTCCTATCAAGTAGTACTACGAAGAAGCTAATCAACTCAAATGATTATGTAGATCTTATAGAGAAAAGTTCTATCTATAAGGCTATGAATATAATTGATTCCTGTAATCTCTTGTTTATCTTGCTGAAGATCCTCCATGTCCTGACTATAATTAAGGCTTTTAGAGTAGTTATTAAGACAGTTAAGTATGCGATTCAGCAGGTCCTTACATATATTTTTATTATCTTGCCGATATTGATTGCCTATGCGCTTATAGGAATGGGAATTTATGGGCCCTATATAGAGACATATCACACCTTTCAAGGCAGCTTAATAGCAGGGCTCGGGTTAATAGTTGGTCAAGCTGACTTGAATACCATGATGAGATATGACCCATTTTGGACGGTTATTTATGTATTTTCATTAACACTTTTAATCATTTTCCTGATAATTTCAAGCTTCTCTGCTATCTTTATTGACACTTTTGAGTACACTGTGTATAAAGAAGGATACCCTGGAGAAGATGAAGAGTCAATTTGGACTGTAAAAGATGCTTTTGCATGGATGCTTGATTCTCTTCCAAATAAGTGGCTCATATCTCTAGGGATCAAAAACAAAGTTTCAGATGATCAAAATGACCAATCTGAAATAAATGGCGGCTAAAATATATGATTAAAATGTTTCAAATGTAAAACTATAAAAAGGGGTTTTGGGGTTTTGGGGTTTTGGGGTTTTGGGGTTTTGGGG